CTACGGCTCTGTGTAGTAAATGCCGCTCCATCTGAAAGCACGTGTTGGAGATTTACTACTAATCACAGAACCGGCTTTACTGATGAGATGTGCATGAAAATCGCATTCGATTATTTGCACAGCCCTAACACCAGTGTATCAATACATGTTAAAATGTTAATGTAGCCTCCTTACTGTTTTTCCCTGACACATTTATAATAATTTATTCTGCCGGTGTGCGTGGCAAGCTTTATGCATCTAATTGAGCGATTATTAGGCTATGTAGGCAATTAAAGGCTCATTATAATGATTTAAATGGTTTTTTAATAAAAGTGCGATTAGTCGACTAATGCTTAAAATGAACGACTATTAGTTGACATGCAAAATCTTTAGTTGTGGGCAGCCCTACAAATAACGAAGTTGCCTTGGTGACAGGAGCTTCCAGTGGAGAAAGTACAGACAAAGTGCAGACATAAACCTACATATAATTTATGGTAATAGAATGAAATATAACACTAATAATAATGAGACCAGATCATAAATGTAAAAATAATAGCTATATGGTAATAAAATATAGAGAGAAAACAGACAGAATTATGAATGTGAAAATGTTTTGAGAAGTTATGTACAAAATATAGAGAAAATAGAAAAAAAATGTATGAATGCACTATTTTACAGTTAAACATTTTTGAGAAGTTTTCTTCGTTGTAAGACGGCAGAAGTGACGCAACTGGTAACTGTAATGCGTGAGCTTTCAAAAAGTTTCTTGTGCACATGTGAAACACTGCTTGTGAGCACGTGAAAGTCTGTATATTTTTTATTTTTGCAAATGTCCCTTTAGGGGCTCCGTATTAACACACTGGTTTGTAGTGCAAACAGTTTTACTTTGCACATTGTTATTCTTCTCATTATTTCCCTACAAAGGCTAATGAATCAAAAGTCTCGCACATTCAAAGAAAATGGTGGGAAAACACCGGATCATGAGCTGATCACCCGAATGAAGTGAGCTCTATGTTTTGAAACATGCAGCGAACTGACTTGATGAAGGGATTAAGCCATATTGTGCTTTCGGTTTTAGTTTGTTTGACAGATACTGTGCCAAAGCATAATGGCCCAAAACACAACTTTAAAGACCTTTTTTTTCTCAGTAAATATATTTCTAAAGGTGCTGTTGACATGAAATTTTCACCAGATGTTGGTAACAACCCAAGTAATCTATACATACAAAGAAAAAACAAGTAAGTTCAGAAATTACGTTATGTGTAATCAAATGGAATGACCGAGGGAAAAGTATTGAACAATGCGCTTCGCTTTGAAACAGACTTGATGAAGGGATTAAGCCATATTGTGCTTTTGGTTTCATTTTGTTTGACAGATACTGTGCCAAAGCATAATGGCCCAAAACACAACTTTAAAGACCTTTTATGTTAGAATATTTTAAAAATCTACACCCCTTGCCCAAATTACCTATATCGGTTCATACCGTCAAGTGACCACGATGATACTGAGACAGTTTTGCTATCATGATACCACAATATTCATAATTGGTGCGTTCCAAATGGGATATATCGCCCTCCGAAGGGCACTTTGGAGTAAAGGTGCTGTTGACTTGAAATTTTCACCAGATGTCGGTAACAACCTAAATAATCCATACATACAAAGAAAACAAAACAAATAAGTTCAGAAATTAAGTTCTGTGTAATAAAATGGAATGACACTGGGAAAAAATATTGAACTACTGAAATTAATTCAATACTTCATACAAAAGCCTTTTGTTGGTAATGACAGCTTCAAGAAGCCTCCTGTATGGAGAAACTAGTCGCATGCATTGCTCAGGTGTGATTTTGGCCCATTTTTCCACAGTCTTCAAATCTTGAAGGTTCAATGGGCCTCTTCTATGAACTCTGATCTGTAGTTCTTTCCATATATAAAAATCTACACCCCTTGCCCAAATTACCTATATCGGTTCATACCGTCAAGTGACCACGATGATACTGAGACAGTTTTGCTATCATGATACCACAATATTCATAATTGGTGCGTTCCAAATGGGATATATCGCCCTCCGAAGGGCACTTTGGAGTGAAAACAATCATGTCCACCATGTTGAAAGGGTCGTTCCAAACCAAAAGCCACTTCAAAGGGCCCTTCGGAATGAAGGATTTCGAAGGATACAACTGATGGACACTTCGGGCCCCCATGATCCTTTGCACAGGGAAGTTGTTTGGCGTCACACCCTGCGTTCTATCCGGAAGGGCTCTAGTTCTTTCCATAGATTTTCTATTGGATTCAAGTCAGGTGATTGGCTGGGCCATTCTAGCAGCTTTACTTTCTCTGAAACCAAATGAGAGTTTCCTTGGCTGTGTTTGGGATCATTGTCTTGCTGAAATGTCCAGCCTTGTTTCATCTTCATCATCCTGGTAGATGGCAGCAGATTTTTATCAAGAATGTCTCGGTACATTTTTCCATTCATCCTTCCTTCAATTATATGAATTTTGCCAGTGCCATACCATAATGTTTTGGGGTGATGTGCAGTGTCATTTAACCTCCAAACATGGTGTGTATTATGGCATCCAAAGAGTTTTTAATTTTGGTCTCATCTGACCAGACTATATTCTCCTAGTATTTCACAGGTTTGTCTAAATGTTGTGCAGCAAACTTTAAACGAGCTTCAACATGCTTTTTCTTCAGCAATGGAGTCTTGCATGGTGAGCCTGTATACAGGCCACGGTGGTTGAATGCATTACTTGTTGTTTTCTTTGAAACAATTGTACATGCTAATTCCAGATCTTTCTGAAACTCCACAAGTGGTCCTTGGCTCTTAGACAACTCTTCTGATAATTATTTTCACTCCTCTGTTAGAAATCTTGTGAGGAGCACCTGGTTGTGGCCGGTTTATGGTGAAATTATGTTCTTTCCACTTCTGGATTATGGCCCCAGCAGTGCTCACTGGAACATTCAGAAGTATAGAAATCCTTCTGTAACCAATGGCATCAGTATTTTTTGCAACAATAAGGTTGCAACAGTCTTGAGAGAGCTCTTTGCTTTTACCCATCATGAAATGTTTCTTGACACGTTGGTCATGAGACACCTTTTTATAGGCCATCAGTTGAGACTGAACCAGCTAATATTAATTTCCACTGACAAGGGGCAGGATTGCTTTCTAATTACTGACAGATTTCAGCTGGTATCTTGGCTTTCCATGCTTTTTTGCACCTCCCTTTCTTCTCGTGTGTTTAATAAGTTTTCCCTGTGTCATTCCACTTTATTACACAAAACTTAATTTCTGAACTTATTTGTTTTGTTTTCTTTGTATTTATGGATTGCTTTGGTTGTTACCGACATCTGGTGAAAATTTCATGTCATGGAAATGTCAACAGCACCTTTGGAAATATATTTACTGAGAAAAATGGTGACGTGTTCAATACTTATTTTACCCGCTGTGTGTGTGTATATATATATGTATGTTAATGAAACAAATATCAGCTTACCTTTTCAATATATGTAACGATTTCATCATTGCTCAGCTCAACAAAGGATCTCATTTTGAAACTTATGTACGCAACTGCTGTCACATCTATAAAAAATCAGATTCATATCATCATATGTGAATAAAACTTTAATCTATACATAAAACCTGGGTTGTGAATAAGAAGAAGAAGAAGAAGAAGAAGAAATGAATGAACCTATAAAATAAACTTTGCTTACTTTGCAGGACAGCTTCTGGAGTTGAGGGTGTTGATTGACTTGCTGATTGAGTTGTAGACACAAGTTGAGTTGTTGTCAGTTGAGAGGTAAATGTTGGTGTTGCTGTTCGAGTTGTAGATGTTAATGCACTTGATTTCAATGTTGATGCAGTTGATGTAGTTTGAGCTGTTGATGTTGATCCAGTTGATGTCACTGCTGGCACAGTTGATATTGTTGATAGAGTGGTAGATGTTGGTGCAGTTAATGTTAAGGTTGGTGCTGTTGATATTGAGGATGGTACAGTTGTTGTTACTAGAGTGGTAGATGTTGGTGCAGCAGTTGTTGGTAGAGTGGTAGATGTTGGTGCAGTTGTTGTTGATAGAGTGGTGAATGTTGGTGCAGTTGTTGTTGATGGAGTAGTAGATGTTGGTGCAGCTGATGTTGAGGTTGGTGCAGTTGTTGTTGATGGAGTGGTAGATGTTGGTGCAGTTGATGTTGGGGTTGGTGCAGCAGTTGTTGATGATAGAGTGGTAGTTGGTGCAGTTGTTGATAGAGTGGTGGATGTTTGTGCAGTTGTTGCTGAGGTTGGTGCAGCAGTTGTTGGTAGAGTGGTATATGTTGGTGCAGGTGATGTTGATGTTAGTACAGTTGATGTTGAGGATGGTACGTTTGTTGTAACTACAGTGGTAGATGTTGGTGCAGTTGATCTTAAGGTGAGTGCAGCAGTTGCTGATGAAGAGGTAGATGTTGGTTTAGTTGTTGTTGATAGAGTGGTGGATATTGGTGCAGTTGTTGTTGATAGAGTGATGGATGTTGGTGCAGGTGTTGCTGAGGTTGGTGCAGTTGTTGATGGAGTGGTAGATGTTGGTACAGTTGTTGTTGGTGCAGTTGATGTTGGTGCAGAAGTTGTTGGTAGGGTGGTGGATGTTGGTGAAGTTGTTGTTGAAAGAGTGGTGGATGTTGGTGCAGTTGTTGCTGAGGTTGGTGCAGTTGTTGTCGATGGAGTGGTAGATGTCAGTACAGTTGATGTTGAGGTTGGCGCAGCAGTTGTTGGTAGAGTGGTAGATGTTAGTAAAGTTGATGTTGATGGAGTGGTAGATGTTGGTGCTGTTGATGCTGAGGTTGGTGCAGTTGTTGATATTGTGGTAGATGTTGCTGAGGTTGGTGCAGTTGTTGTTAACAGAGTGCTAGATGTTGGTACAGTTGTTGTTAATGGAGTGGTAGATGTTGGTGCAGTTGATGTTGAGGTTGCTGCAGCAGTTGTTGATAGAGTGGTAGATGTTGGTGCAGTTGTTGTTGTGGTTGGTGCAGCAGTGGTTGGTAGAGTGGTAGATGTTGGTGGAATTGATGTTGAGGTTGGTGCAGTTGTTGGTGATAGAGTGGTGGATGTTGGTGCAGTTGATATTGAGGTTGGAGCAGCAGTTGCTGGTAGAGTGGTAGATGTTGGTGCAGTTGATATTGAGGTTGGTGCAGTAGTTGTTGGTAGAGTGGTAAATGTTGGAGCAGTTGTTAGAGTGGTGGATGTTTGTGCAGTTGTTGTTGAGGTTGGTGCAGCAGTTGTTGGTAGAGTGGTAGATGTTGGTGAAGTTGATGTTGAGGTTGGTGCAGCAGTTGTTGGTAGAGTGGTAGATGTTGGTGAAGTTGATGTTGAGGTTGGTGCAGCAGTTGTTGGTAGAGTGGTAAATGTTGGAGCAGTTGTTAGAGTGGTGGATGTTTGTGCAGTTGTTGTTGAGGTTGGTGCAGCAGTTGTTGGTAGAGTGGTAGATGTTGGTTTGGTGCAGTTGTTGTTGATGGAGTGGTAGATGTTGGTGCAGTTGATGTTGAGGTTGGTGCAGCAGTTGTTGGTAAAGTGGTAGATCTTGGTAAAGTTGATGTTGATGAAGTGGTAGATGTTGGTGGCGTTGACGTTGAGGTTGGTACAGTTGTTTTTAACAGAGTGGTAGATGTTGGTGCAGTTGATGTTGGGGGTGGGGCAGCAGTTGGTGGTG